TGGCGAACAGTCAAGTGCCTTAGGCACTATGCTACCAGAGCTCCCTGCCTCGGAAACCCAAGGAGGGGTTGCTATCAGTTGGGTCCGACTCGATGGCATATAACAACAACAACAACAACAACATATGAACACCAAGGATTGTTCCTTCTTCTGTTTATTGGTGGTGGTGTGTGTGTGGGGAGGTCTTTCCCTGCCCTCAGGTAGCTTCCTTACATGCATGCAATGATCACTACTCAGACTAAGACTCGAGGTCTAACAACCATTGTTTCACTTATTCTGTCTGGTTTTATAGTTGTTTCAGGCAAAAGGATAAATCCAGTCCCTGCTACTCCATTTTGGCTGGAAGCAGATGTCTTTTTTTCCTGTTTTCTCATCTCCCCATCTCTATTTTTTTCTTTTTTTAAATGTAAGTAAATACAGTTTTTACATTTGTGTGCCTACACACTTTTACCTATCATGCTTTATTGTCTCTTAATAATGTATCCTAGTAGTACATATAGGAGCTCTGGTAGCATAGTGCCTAAGGCACTTGACTGTTAACCAGAAGGCTGGTGGTTCAAACCCACCAGCCACTCCTCGGAAGGAAGACAGGGCAATATACTTCCATAGAGACACTGTTTCAGAAAACCAAGGAGAGGTTGCTATGAGTTGGATTTGACTCGACCGCAGTGAGCATAGCTGTAAATATGAATAAAGAACAGTCTCATAGGATTTACAGAAGGCTGGAAAAAGAGATATGATTATAGAATGTAATATGCTTGATCAAAGGCATTCACAAATAGTCTTGGAGCAAAATGGAAGAAAGGATTATTTTGTATGTGGTATCTGTCAAAAAGATGACAGAGCATCTGGACTGGAAATGTAAGTATGAGCAAGAGTTTGCTAAGTTGACAAGGAAGAAAAAATATTCTAGCAAATGAAACAGCATGAAAAATGGCATGTGATTATTATTGTTCACACCTTCCTTGAACATCCTAGGAGAGAATCACCTTCCATACTGACAATGTCAAACTGTATCTTCAATCTATCAGGGCCTCAATTGCCTCACGTTTAGAGAATTAAGAAAAATAATGTCTACCTCACAGAGTTCTTGTGAAATATAAAGAAGATAACTATTACAGGTACTCAGAAAATTCTTGACACATGGTAGGCTCTCAATAAATAATAGCTATTTTCATGATCTCATCTTTTATTTGAAGTGTACGAGATTTAAATACATGATTATTATTTTGTTCACGAGTCACATGATACTTTAAGTAATTGCCAAACTCATTCCTATGTATGTGTCTTGTTTAAGTGCCTATAGGACAGAGATTAAAGCTTAATCTCATCTCTCCTGTGTATCAAGCAAAATATCTTAAACATACACTGTTGAGCAGCAAATGCTCAAAATAAAGAAAATATACTTGGAATAAAGCTTTAATTATACAGGTTCTATTGGTTATGTTGAGCTCTGGTGGTGGAGTGGTTAAGGCATTTGGCTGCTAACTAAATGGTCAGTGGTTCAAACCCACCACCTGCTGTGTGGAAGAAAGATGATGCAGTCAGCTTCCGTAAAAATTTACAGCCTTGGAAATCCAATGTGGGTCACTTGGAGTTGGAATCAACTCAATGGCAGTGAGTTACTAAGTATGTTGATCTATCAAAGGAGAGGCCAAAATTACACTCTCTAGCGACTGGCATTGTAAAAGCTTGCAAGCAGCCATCTAGATGTAAATGATGGGTCTCTCCTCATCCAGAGCAAAGAAGAATGAAGAAAAACAAATATGCATAGAAACAATTAGTCCAAGGGACCAGTACACCATGTAATCCTCAGCCTATATAACTATAAGACCAGAAGAACTAGATGGTGCCTGGCTACCACTGTCAACCACTCAGAGGGGGATCTATGTAGGAGATCCTGGATAGAGTGGGAGAACAATGTGGAACAAAACTCAACATCATTTAAAAAAAAAAAAAAAAAGGACTAGGTTAGCTGGTCTGATAGAGCTCCTGAGGTCATGACCCCTAGCTGTCCTTCAGGTCTGGAACTGAACTTACTCCTGTGGCTTCCAGCCAAACAAAAGACAGGCATATGAGCTGAACATTTGCATTAGGTAGACACACTCCTTGGAGAGATCAATCATAGCAGAATAGAAGGGCTGTGTATGTTAAGGGAGAGAGCTTGGGGGACAAGAGTGCATGGGAGGGAAGGACACAGGGAGGAGATACTTATGGGTAGGAAGTGGGAAAAGAGCTGTTGCATTGTGGGAAATTGCAGTCAATGTCATGAGACAACGTGTATGTGAACTGCTGTATGAAAAATGAATTTGCTCTGTAAACTTTCATCAAAATCACAATAATTTTTTTTTAAAAAATTACTCTCATGATATCCTATATCTGAAAAATCATTTTAAAAAGATCCATTGTGCCAATGCATTTTAATATTTAAATGTAGTAAGTCATCATGTAATAAATGGTTCAAAATTAGTAGATTCAATAAGACAAAACAGATAAGAACTTCATTGGATTGTTTCTATTTCACTCACTATCCAGGAAATCCAAAGAAATCATAGTATTCCTCATTGTACACAAACTGTATCTTCTATTTCCATACAGCATTCCACATGTCTTCCTTTCAACCTCTTTGACACCAAATGACATCTAGGCATCTGTTCTAGTTACCTAGTGCAGCTCTGACAGGAATATACTACAAAAGGGATGGCCTTAACAAACAGGAGTTTATTCTCTTACACTTTGGAGGCTTTAAGTTCAAGTTCAAAGTGCCAGGCTCTAGGAAGCTGGGTGAAAGCTCCTCAGCCTGGGCTTCAGCTCTGCCTCCAGCTCTCGGCCCACTGAAGCTAGAGGCTTTTCTTCACTCAGACAGCTGCTGGCTGCTGAGGCTGAGAAGCCCAAGGTTGACAATTAAAAAGGCACAGGCCTGATATTACCAAATCACATGGCAGGGCATTACTTCAAGTCCAGAGATAGTGCCCAGATTGGCAGGAAACATGGCAATTAAAAAGGCACAGTTCTGATATTACCAAATCACACGGCAGGGCATTACTTCAAGTCCATTGTAAGTCTCAAGGTCAGCAGAGCACTGCAGACTGCTGAACAACAACATGGCTACTCTCAGGGCCCAAGCGTGCCATAAGCTAGAAACCCATTCCCAAAGCTTCTCCTTATATACAGGAAGCAGACCACATCCCAAAGGCAGCTACTCAGCTGCTTGTGGTAGATCCCACCATGGAGTTGATTGCCAGTCTCATCATTGGGAATAACTACCACCAGCTGCCCAGACACTCAACTGCCTATATAAAGTAAAACTACCCCATAGGGTTTCCAAGGCTGTAAATTTTTATGGAAGCAGACTGCTACATACTTCTCCCACAGAGGGCGGATGCATTCTAACTTCTGACCTTTTGGTTAATAGCCAATCACTTCAGCCACTGCATTACCAAGGCTCCCAAGGAAACCTAAGTCCCACTAATTCTGTGTCCATATTCTAACTTCTGTCCAAATTCTCTCCCTTCCAAATGAATTAATTCAGACTCTGCTGATAAATTAACAAATCCCTCCCCCCAATATTTTTCCATTTGTCTTTAGGACATCCAGTCATCATGCTTAAGGATTTGAAGATTTTCTCCATCCCCTGTGGGACCACACATTTTTAACCCCTCTTACTAACCTGAAAACCCAATGAAATATCCCTCTTGCACTCCTTCTCAAAGATCTCTTGTAACTTCTTATTCCATGTACCAAAATAAAATTCTACTGGCAATGAAAACTGAATGCAATTGTTACTCTTTTTTTCCCCCAAGGGTTTTATATTTGCGTCCTGGGTAATTATGTTTTGCCTACACCTGTAGGGTAGTAACAGTTTAGTTAACCTTCCAACATAAGTCCACTACCTAGTTTTCCTTAGTAAGTCTTTTTAGGCTTAGGCAAATCAATGAATTCTTTTCTAGTCTTTAGAAAATACAAAGTGAAACAGAAGTCATGGAGCATCCATGAATGTAACAGAGGAGAAACTCTTTGAAAGATGGAACACAACGCATGATCTCCTGCAGATTTTTTTTTCCCCCACCAACAAAAGCAGCCAACATATAGTGTTTTGGTCCTCTAGTGCTACTCTAACAGAAGTGCCCAAAATGGATGGCTTGAACAAACAGGAGTTTATTTTCTTACAGTTTAGGAGGTTAGAAGTCAGAGTTCAAAGTGCCAGCCCTAGGGACTAGGTGAAAGCCCCTTGACCTTAGGCTTCATCCCTGCCTCTTGCTTCCGGCCCACTGGAGCTAGAGGTTTCTCTTCACTCAGGCAGCTACTGGCTGCTGAGGCTAACGAGCCCAAGGTTGACAAAAAGAATGCATAGTCCCAATATTATCAAATGACACAGCAGGTCACTAGTTCAAGTCCAGAGCCAGTCCTGAGACTGGCAGGAAACATGGCAGGCTGCTAAATGAACACTTGGCTATATGCAGGGTCCAAGCCTGCCAAAAAGCAGCAGAGATCTTTCTCAAAACTTATTATATACTGGAAGCAGACCATGTCTCTAAGGCAGCTACTCAGCCACTCCAATAGATTCTACCATGGAGTTGACTACCAGTCTCATGGGGAATAACTACATCCATCTGCCCAGTTACTCAAAACCAGGCCCAGCCAAGTTGACACACAACTTAACTACCACAATTCCACCCCTTGTCAACTTGGCAACTACACAGCTTTCCTTGAGATAGTTTAGCAAAAGCTAAAAACACTCACTGCCATCAAGTTGATTTTGACTCATAATGACCCCCTTTGGGTTTCTGAGGCAGTAAATCTTTACAGAAGTAGATTGCCCAGTCTGCCTTCTGCAGAGTGACTGGTGAGTTTGAAACGCCAACATATTGGTTAGCAGTCAAATGCCTTAGGCCCTGCACCACCAGAGCTCCTACATTAGTAGTCTACATATTTTCTACTCAGAGTCACTTGCAATGTATCAGGGGCTATCCCTTTTTCCTTCTGCATATGTACAGCAGTTCTCCTTCATTCTGATGGGTAGAGCTTCAGTGGTGATTCACTCCACCATATAGAAAGAGAGCCTTCAGGCCCAGGCAAGTGAGGTAAATGAATAAAGCTGACCTGGTGCAAGTTCATAGGTATTGGAAAAGATTGTAAATTTTTTTTTTTTTTTTTTGGTCCAAGGTCATGCCCCCTTCCTAGGCTGGAAAGATAAAAGATCCACATTCCTCTCCCAACTGAAGATGGCTCTGTAGGGCCACACCTTCTTCAGATCCCCCCACAGGGTAATCTAAGAATTCCACTGAAACTGCCTCACACCTTGCTTTCTTTCCCCACTTCTACCAGTGTAATACCCAAAGCACTCCTCAATAGACCTCCTCCATGCTCAATTTCATCTCCGTATCTGCTTCCTGGGAAGCCCAACCTGCCATAAAATCCAATTGGGAATTCACAATAGCTAATTGGAGACGGCTGGAATGGTCAACTGACGTGTACTTTTAGTACATGATGAGATAGGATTATAAACATAACAGCAGAGAACATATTCAAACCCACCAGCCACTCCTTGGAAGGAAGACTGGGCAGTCTACTTCCATGGAGATACTGTGAGGCCTGAGAAATCTTTAACCAGAAACCTTTAATGTGGAGATTAACACGTCCCATGCTGAGTCCTAATGCCTCCAGGTAGATCTTTAACCAGAAGCTTTTAATGTGGAGATTTCCCATACCTCAAGCTCTGCCTGGTCTTACCCCCTCCCCCTGGATTTCACACATATCAGAGAGTTCTGCATGGCTCCAACAAAGTCTCTCGCTCACCTTTGAAGCCAGGGGATTCCAACCCGCCCTCCAACTTCCCAAACCCCTGCCCTAAAACCCAATTATCTACTCCACCCCATATTTTTCTATAAAGATGTGACAGTAACGGAGCAGGAGGTCTTTTGCTCAAGCCATTGAATTGGTGAAGCAGGGACCCTAACTCGAGCTAGCTAATAAACTTTCCTTTTGCTTTTGCATTGTCATGTGTTAGCAAATTCCTCGTGCCAAACAACTCCTTCATAACCTGGGCATAACATTTGGTGCGTTGGCCGGGAAAGGAGGATTCGGAGCGAGTAAAGCTGTCTGCGATAGTAGGAAAGTTTCAGGAAAGGCCGGCGGGACTAGATACGCCCTTTTGCGTGGGGGCACTAGTCCATCAGGAAAGACTGGAAATCGGCGGACGCGCCAAATGAGTGGGGAAAAGAGCCCTTTCTCCACTCACGGGCAGGCTATGGGCGCTTTTTCTGGGTAAGAGCAGCCCACTTCAGGGAAGGGGAGAGGCCCCTCCAATCTGTGGTGCTGGAACAAGATCTCTTCTGGGTGTCAGATAAATGTACTGTCTGTTTTGGTTGTGTGGCCACTGTCTTTTATTTGTTCTGTGTTTCCTTGAAGGAGGTTGAAATGGGACAGAAACAGACTACCCCTCTGTCCCTGATGGTTGAACATTTTTCAGAGCTTAAAACCAGAGGATCTAATTTGTCTGTGATAATTAAGAAAAATACACTAATAACTTTTTGCTCTTCAGAGTAGCCCTCTCTTGAGGTTGGGATAGCCACCGGAAGGCTCACTGGATGGAAAGGTGATCACAGCCGTTTTCAACCGAGTCCAAGTGCCAGGCCCCCGTGGGTGGCCAGACCAATTTCCTTACATTTTAGTGTGGCAAGATATAGTGACTAACCCGCCCCCATAGCTAAAACCTTTTCTTCCCAACCTCTCTGTTAAGGTATTAACATCCTCACTCGAGACTAGCAAAAAGGAGAAACCGAGACGACCTGGGTTCCGAGCAGCTGTTCCACCGGTTTTGCCTGATTCTCAGGTTGACCTCGATCTGATGGACCTAGAAAGCAGCATGTCTCCACCTCCCTATGCCCCTCTGCCACCTCTCCACCCTTTCCAGGTTCCACAAGTGTCGGGAGGGGATGGAGCGAATGCTCTAAGCGTGCCGCCCGTCATTACAGGCCCAGCCTCTGGTCTCCGCCCGCACCAGAGGGGCTCTCAGGAGGCTGAAGCTCCATCGTCTGCTGTCCAGGAGCTGCCTCTCAGAGCGGTTGGCCTGCCCCGTGAGGACGGAAGCAGAACCTGGCAGTACTGGCCATTTTCAACATCAGACCTGTGTAACTGGAAAGTGCAAAACGCCCCCTTTTCTGAAAATCCCCAAAGCCTAATTAATTTGTTAGATTCTATATTGTTTACTCATAACCCCACTTGGGATGATTGTCAGCAGGTA